AAAAGCACAACCCCTCAAGCATAACGAGGTGAGGACAACCAGGGGAGTACAGAGAAGCCAACGAACCTGGAAGGGCTAAGCCAGGTACTGCAAGGCAGGCAAGGAATGAGCGACCCAGAGAAGACAAGCTGAACAATTAGTACAGACAAACACACAAGGCCCCAGGAGGAAAACACGCAAGGGCCAAACAAAACGCCACAACCCCCCAATACTCACCCTCGGTAACAAAACCGGATCAAAATGGCACCTCGTAACATTCAGACACATGAAAACCGTACCTCATAACAGTCACCACCATTGTACCACGTAACCCGTGAAGGTGGGGCCCAGGGACTAACACAAGCATGGGTCGGACATGCGTATGAGTGGGACTGGATGGGTACAATGAGGAGCTGTCCCGCATGGGCCAAGAGACCCCCTGCAGGTACCTGTGTCCTGCTGGTCCCACATTCGCACACCAAAAACCAAGGATCAACGCCAGATCGCATAAACTCGCCTGCAGAACAGAAGCACAAACATGTCACGACACAACGTAGCCGAAAAGATGCCGGGAGCACCGCCAGGGGAAGAAGCCCCGAGCCGCACACGCAGAAGAGGAGGGGGAAGAGGCGAAAAAGGCGCCCTGCACCCATAACACGGGGAAAACCTCAGCGTCCGCCCCATAACCGCAACCCAGAACACCCCAGTAGTTACGGAGCAAGGACTGGAGAAATGAGAAGAACGAGAGGCGAAGCACCTGAGAGAAAAGGGCGCAAAACACGAGCACTCGTGCACACCGCCCACACCAAAACAAACTCCCATGGCGCACGCGCACAACCCGCTCGGCGGGAAGGCGCCCAAAAGGACTATTGCACAAGTAGCCCAAACAGTCTGTGACGAGAGGGATGGGCGCAGGGGCAGAAACACCCCAGCGACCGGGAACAGGAGCGAAAACAGTTAGCAGCGACAAACATATCCGGTGAATGTAAAGAAGACAAGGAACGAACCAGCATCCCAACTGGGCTACAAGTAGCCCAAACAGGCACCCCGGACAAGGAGTATGTAAAGAAAATGAACAGTGCCGAGACCGAGGACGAAGAAAACATGAACAAAAGAGCGAGACAGGACCGAAAACCCAGGATAAATCCAGAAGGGGACCAACAAGCCCAGAAAAACCAAAGGGAAGCCACACCAAAAGACGCCAGACGTTCCAATAATACAGGAAGTAGCGAAACCTTCCCGAACCTTCGAGAACATCCACAAGCAAGCAGAAATCACGAAGGCACAGAAAAGCACAGTCGCACCCGAGACCAAAAGTCATGCAGAACCCCAAAAAGGAAAGGGGCACATGACAGGGAAGTCCCGTCCCAAGAAAGGGGGGAAAAAACCACAAAGAGCACCCACGAACAGGATGGAACCAACTGACTTAAGGAACAAGGAACCAAGCCCGGGGAGGGGTTGACGCCCAACAACTCATACGAAGAGGGGGAAGGAAAAACCCCACTCCTTGCAACTGCAAGCCCCACTCGAAGGGTAAAACAACCCCGGCGAGGACCAACCGGGCCCGGGGCCCCCCAGGCAGCCCCTCCCCAGCCCCCAGGAACCCACACGCCACGCCCCGTGGCCGAGCCGTCCCCCCAAAACCCCGGTCACAAGAAAAACCGAGGCAGCCAAGAAAAATACCAAGGAAGGGAGCCCACTGGCAGACTCATACAACACGGCTGGAGGAACAGGCTCGAATGCCCCCGTCACTACCCCGGAAGGGGAATTCCAGGAGACCGCCCGAGTCTCAAAACCATCGAAGCCCCGCCCCGACCCCGAACCCACAGATGGTAAGAACCTGGATGCAGGGAGGAAGGGGAGGTGGGGGGGGGGAGACAAGGGTTGTGGAAGAAAACGGAATCAACCAACACCCCGAAGCCCCATCACCAAAACGGGGCAGCCTCAGGGCTTCCGGGAGCAAACAACCTAGGGCGTTGCCAACTGAAACACGATGCGCAACGCCCGTGATATCTGCACCCACATAGTCGGCATAAGACTGGGTAAGCAAGCCACAAACAAGCAACAAAACTCGCAGAGCTCTGGGCCGAAGGTGCCACCGACCCCACAGGCAGTAGATGGAGGCAAAACACTGAGTCACCCTGAGACAAGGGGACAGAGCAACCCTCAAACTCGCACAAAGTGAAGGGGGACCCCAGGGTCACATCCATCGGACCCACGCGTCCCCGTGGGGATTCCCAGGGTCCGGAGTGTTTACTTGAAGAGGACCCACGCTCAGGTAAACCCAGGCAGGGTACTGCTAACCGGCGCCCAATACTACCAAACAACCTTCTAAGAACTGAACCCCCGGGACGTGTACACTCACAGGGACTTAGCAGGGCGAACCACCGGAAGAAGAAAGAGTACACGGGGCAAGAACCAAGGCAGACCCCCCCCCCACCATGCAGAAAACAAAAAGAAAAAGAAAACCCCGCAAGAGGACAGCATACCCAGGCGGAACAGAGCCGGCCGCTATGATAGGTGAAAACTAGCTGCACAGTACCCTGCGCCCCACCAGTGCAAACTGCCCCCTACCCCAAGGCGAACAAGGGAGACAGGACACCCGAGCATACAAGGGGCAGCCGAAAACCAAGCAGTAAACGGCCTAGCAGGGGCAGAACCCAAGGAACTTGTGGAAGGGAACTCCAAGCCCCAAGGGCTGTACTTACAGGGTACCTAAGGAAGGAAACCCTAGGTGCATGCAGCCCGAGTACTGAAGAAACACTCCCAACTCACGCACCACCTAGAAAACAGACACCACACACTAGGTACAGTGCTGAAACATCCACTGGAGCCGGAGCACATGACCTCAGCCTTTAGCATCAGCCTTAGAACTGGGGGTGGATAGCCGGCGCGATGGGTCTGGGGCTCCCCCTCCCGGGGAGGGGGGAGCTGGGCGGACAGCGGCGCGGCGACGTGTGACGTCATGATTGTTTGCTCGTTTATTTTAGGGAAAGTTCTATCCACTTGTTCGGCTTGTGGCAGCAATTTTCACCAGAACAGGGGTTTGTTTTGGGACGCTTGCCTTTCTGGGTGCCTAACCCGGTCGATGGCAGACATAGAATGCTTCCAACCACACGGGGGTTTCTATAGGCCATTGCTCCCCTTGCCTCTTCTGAGGGGGCCAGGTTCTGGCTCGTGGTCCCCGGTAGGCCCATAGAACTCCATACACATGACTGATGCCAAAGTCTGACATTAGCACATCAACCTAGTAAGCTCCGGGGAGCCGAAAGGGGCTCCCCCCCCCCCCAGAAAAATTCTGACTGATAGAAAAATGAGGGCAGTAATCAGAGGCACTGTATCGGACTTGAGAAATTTCACAAGTGGAGTACCACAGGGTTCAGTTCTTGCACTAGAGATATTCATTGTCTACATAAATGATCTACCAGTTGGAATACAGAATTATATGAACATGTTTGCTGATGATGCTAAGATAATAGGAAGGATAAGAAACTTAGATGATTGTCATGTCCTGTAAGAAGACCTGGACAAAATAAGTATATGGAGCACCACTTGGCATAGGGAATTTAATGTGAATAAATGCCATGTTATGGAATGTGGAATAGGTGAACATAGACCCCACGCAACCTACAAATTATGTGAGAATTCTTAAAAGAATTCTGATAAAGAAAGAGATCTAGGAGTGGTTCTAGATAGAAAACTATCTCCTGATGACCACATAAAGAACATTGTGCGAGAAGCCTATGCCATGCTTTCTAACTTCAGAATTGCTTTTAAATACATGGATGGCGAAATATTAAAGAAATTGTTCATGACTTTTGTTAGGCCAAAGCTAGAATATGCATCTGTTGTGTGTTGCCCATATCTTAAGAAGCACATCAACAAACTGGAAAAGGTGCAAAGGCATGCTACTAAGTGGCTCCCAGAACTGAAGGGCAAGAGCTACTAGGAGAGGATAGAGGCATTAAATATGCCAAAACTAGAAGACAGAAGAAAAAGATGTGATATGATCACTACGTACAAAATAGTAACAGGAATTGATAAAATCGACAGGGAAGACTTCCTGAGACCTGGAACTTCAAGAACAAGAGGTCATAGATTTAAACTAATTAAACAAAGATGCTGAAGAAATATAAGAAAATTCACTTTCGCAAACAGATTGGTAGACGGTTAGAACAAGTCAAGTGAGGTGGTGGTGGAGGCCAAAACCGTCAGTAGTTTCAAAGTGTTATATGACAATGAGTGTTGGGAAGACGGGACACCACGAGCGTAGCTCTCTTCCTGTAACTACACTTAGGTAATTACACTTAGGTAATTACACACACACACACACACATAATTACACAGAGTACAGTATACAAATCCAATTTAAAAGAATGAAAATACAAATTTTTAAGTCATGCACCACCTTAAGTCTTGCATCCACTATATGTACACATGAGCCTAGAACTCAACATTAGGTACAAGCATGCAAAATACAATTAATATAAACCGGTCTTGATCGGTTCTTTCATAGAAATAAAAAATGTTGCAGAAGACATAAGCATTCCATCAGCAAGCATGACGAATTTAGGATCGCTTAACTGCCTATGGTCACATGTAACGGCATCAGCGAAAAGGTAGGCTAAACATATGCCCATTGGTCAGTAGGTGAAAGCTTCACCAGCACACCATGCAACACGCTTGCCTTCAAAGTTGCTGCTCAAGAGCATATAGGCACATGGGCATCTTTCTTAGCATTTTGTTAGAGTCCAAGGGTGCCCTTTAGCTTTATTTCCATATCTTACCTAAATGCATTAAAAATTAACACCACTGAAAGCAAAACTACTGTACTGTAATGTGGTAAAACACAGACTGAATTTGAGATGTAGACAGCTGCTGCTCTATAAATTGGGCATGACTGTTACAGGGCATGCTTGGAATCCTTCCTAATGCTGCCACTGTAAATCCCTCATCCTCAGCGTCTAACTCATCACTGATCAGATGATGCACATGCGCCTAGATCCACAGCTTGTACTTACAGCCGATGAGCATAACCAATATGGTGAAAATCTTCTCGACATCTGTATTAGCCGCCACGTTGCCGAAGCCCACCGATGTGAGACTACTGAAGGTGAAGTACAGTGCTGTCACGTACTTCGCCTGTGGGGGGGAAGTAGTGACGCTGGGTGTTATAGAGTGAAGGCCACGTTAAAATCCAAGGCAGGACACGGGAGTTTCGGTAGAAATCAAGGAAGGTAGAGATTGCACTTTAAATAAAAATAGAAGACATCAGAGCTAACCCAAAAGATAATGAACTCACATTAAAAACCAAAGAAGACAGCAACAGTGTTGTTAGATGCTTAAACAAGCAGTGAGCTAAGAAAAAAATCTTGTGAAAGTGGGAATATACTAACCATTAAGACAACAAAGGAATATTTTATGTGACAGTTCTGAAGATTATCTGTTTTGGTGTAAGGTGTCTACTAACATGTGATAAAATTATATTTAACTAGTGAATCAGTTATACATATTTAGAGAATCGGTGTGTAAACGAATGAGAATCATATTTTTTATTATGTGAAAGAATTTCTTTTATACTACATGTCACTGGATGGAGAAAATGTAAATCCTTTCCAGGTATGTATAAGGAAAATACAAAAACTTAAATATTTTAACGAGTTGAGAAGTTTTAAACAGGGTGAGAAAACATTTTCACATTTAAAGAAAAGGTTAGAAAACTGCAGAATATTAGTTATCAATTAACAAACAAAAACAGCAGATTTTGAATTTTGGGATTAAATACTTTCAAGAACAAATGAACAAATCCACAACGACCGTGATGAGGATCCAAGAACAGATACTGGTTTAATTAGCATTGATTATGAATTCATCATGAACAATTACTATTTGGGATATAATAAATTAATTTTGCATAATATTTTTAAGAAATATAAATTTTATCAGAAAGTTATATAACATAACTTAATAAACAAGGATTGTTAATTTAGGTTAGAAAATAACAGAATATGGAGATCTGATTTAAATTATCATAACTTTATGAACAGGAATTAATTATAAATCAGATGTTTCAATCTTCAGACTTACCTATGGTAATAAGTGACAGGTTGTGCAAGTTTTGTGGGTGTCCTCCACCCACCAGCCAAATGTTTCAGTGTTAATGTGAAAATTTTTCACCTATTTTAAAACTAATTTGTGCATGTTTACACAGCCTGACCTTCATCCTGATGCCATACATGAAAATACTGTGATGCCATTATGTGCAGAACACGTAATGCTTATACAGTGGAACATAGAACATAAACGCCAGTGAACTATTTTCTACACCTTTGCTGTTTCAAGAGACTGTATACATTAGGGGGTTTAATCAATTCTTAGTTCAATATCACAATCAAACAGCTGATTATTAATATTTAATAAGATGCAGAGAATGCACATTTGCTCCAAGTCTCTCGACATACAACAAGAGATGCAGGCAATCTCTCGACCGGCCAACAAGAGATGTGGCTTATTATAGCCAGCCGGGAACCAGCCAACACTACTAGCATGTTGCCATAGTTAAACCCACTCACAGCCCATCATCATGACGAAAATCGTGAAGACCTTCTCAATCTCAGTGGTTGGCGAAACGTTGCCAAAGCCAACCGATGTGAGGGAGGAGAATGTGAAGTAGAGAGCGGTGATGTAGCGAGACTGAAGAGGTGAAATGGTTCATATAGACACATTCATAACAAGTTTTTGTCAGACTATGTTCATGGCATTAATGTTGCTAAGTTATTTTTCATGTTGAGGAATGAATGCTACCATTGTACATGCATGAAGAAGCATCACTGTTGTCAGGCTTTATTCATGCAGAGATATCACCATTTCCAGGCTAAGTTAATTTACAACCATCAACATAACTAAGCTTCCTTCATATTAAGATATCAAATTTGTATGACTATGGTTTATCGAGGAATTAACTTTGAAAGGCTAATTTTATATTGAGGCATCAACATTGCCAATGCAATTTTATGAAAATGAGGGTTCAGCAAGTATAACATACAAATACAGGTTGTTGCAGGAAACTTTGGATAGTGGTAAATATTATTTCATTGTTCAAATAACTCTAGTATTTATTTATTAATATTGTATATAAAATACATAGTTCTTTACAAGTGGATTAATCTAAGATTAATAAAATTAAAAACATTTACAAGGCTACATAATTCTTTAACCACAGCACTGCACAACGTGCCTATGGGCGCTAGACAGGTGGTGCGCAACGCGCCTCAGGGATCTAATAGGTATAGCGTATGATTCATAACTCCAGCGGCTACATGGGGCTCACATCAGCTTCCTTAGGCCTCTTGTAAATAAACGCCATTTAAAAAAAAATCGTGAGCAACATTCCCAGGTATGAGAGCCTCAGTACTGAGTGAGCAACCAAGGCTGGTGCACACAGCATAAGCTCACAGCACTGCTGTTCAGCTTGTGACCACAGCATTGCCTAATAATGACAAAATATATATATGTAACTGGTATTATCTATCCATGATAGTATTACAGAAGAGCCTGAGTGTGATAATGACTGTGTACAATGTTCAAATATCGGCAAATCAATACTGTTTGAGATGTTCACAGCACTAGCCAAAGCACCGCAGCATTATTTCGACCATCTAAGAATCTTCAAATGACTTCCTATCTTCCTTTACAAAATAAACTTGTGGTCAATTATTCATTTACAGGATTTAGTGACCAGGATTGTGATAATAGCAGGATTGTGACGATAATTAGCACTGTGCGTAGTATTGTGGGAGGAGGAATTTTGGTGAGGGAGGGAAGGAATCGAGGTAGGGTCACTGTGTGGCAACCACTCTTGTTTTGCTCACCATACTAGCTTAGTGGTTCGCTATGGTAAACACACATGTACATGGGAATATACAATATATGTATATAGTGTAATAACAGCAACAGGAGCATGTTGGGAGGCGCCATTTTGGCGAGGGAGGTGGCATCGTACTCGTAGCGTTGTCATCTACTGTGTGACTTGTCACGCAGTGTATGGTGGCCACTGTGCTGTTTGGACACAATACCAGCCAAGTTGTATAGTTATGGTGAAAAAACCGTGTAGATACTTATAATGTGTGTAAATAGTGTAATAAAATCAATAACAGTATGGTGGGAAGAGGAATGTGGGCGAGTAAGGTGTTGGAGGAGTGAGGGAGGGCTGGCTGGGTGTGGCAGCTCACACTCGGGGAGTTCTAAGTGTGTTGATGGTGAATGTATATAGTGTGTGATAGTGTATAGTGTGTAAATATGTTATAAATATACATAAATGACATGACACATTGGAAATATGAGCAATATATGTGGAGACATTTGTGACACATGTACCACCACAGTGTTTTGGGACAATATGGATGCTCTACTGCGATAATATTGTGTGCGTGTTCATTATACATGGGATAGCCAAGAAAAAACAAACAAATGTATTTGGAAATGTATGCAAAAAATGAACAAAAAATTATTTGTGACAACTCGCACATGTTGAAGTTGGCGCATGACTGGCTCCGGGAGTCTACGACATGGGCGACCACCAAATCGTGATGCCACATGCCATTTTCCGGACCCTATTGAGGCCAAAGAACGTACTATTTCGAATATTTTTTTAAATATCTGTGATCAGGGAAGGATATTTAACATTTTTAAAAACAAAAAAAAATTTTGCCAAGAATTTATTTCCTGTGCACAAATAGGGTGTCATATTTGGAGCCCGAGCAGCACAGTGGTTAAGGGCCACAATTTTTTTTTTTAGTATACTGAAAGTATCACGAACCGTTCTTGAATATATTATGATGAGGCAAAAGACTAACAGTATAATGGCAATTAACCACTGTGATGCGCAGAGTTTATTGTGACATTTCCTCTGTGCGCATAAAATAAAGCTTTCGCAAATTTTTTTTTTTATCTTTGTAAAATGATAAATTCCCTTCACGTACATGTAAAAAACCAGCGTTGAATATAATAAAACGCCATTTTCTGGGCGAGACCCGGAGGCTCCCCAGAGCTATCCAGGCTGATATGCTAATGTCAGATTTTGGCATCAGTCATGTGTATGGAGTTTTTTGGGCCTACCGGGGACCACAGCCCGAACCTGAGCCAATCAGAGAGACAAGGGGAGCAATGGCCTATAGAAACGCTCTGTGTAGTTGTAAGTATTCTATGTCTGCCATCGACCGGGTCAGGCACCAAGAAAGGTAAGCGTCCCAAAACAAACCCCTATTCTGGTGAAAATTGCTACCAAAAGCAAAACAAGTGGATAGAACTCCCCAAAAATGCCGGGGAGCCTCCGGGTCTCACCCAGAAAATGGCGTTTCATTACATTCAACGCTGGTTTTCTGGGAGGAGGAGGAGGAGGGGGGGGGGAGGAAGAAGTCCCATCGGCGCTCTCCGAAGCTAACTACCCACAGAGGCAAGTAGAGGGACTTACCCGGGAGGTGGTCACTGCTCACTCCTCAACCCGAAGTCGAGACAACTGAAAGCAACTGCCGACCCAAAGCAATACAGGCCCAACTAGGCCCAGGAACATTCACGAGATAACGAGCAGCCAGGACCCTGTTCGATTGCCAAAATCCCCGCGCCCAAATGTCAGTCCAAGACATGTTGAGAAAGATGGCAGCAAGAGCAGCGAACTTGCGAACGTCATGGGCACAAGGATAGACCACAGGCCGGCTAGCCTTAATAATCCTGCGGATGACCTGGGAGACCCGCACCCGCGAACAGGGAAGAAGGGAAACCGGAACAACCCAGAGCACATCCATAGACACAGAAGCCTGAAAGAAGAGAGAAAGCACAAATAATGGCAGAGGGCCGCAACCGGACACAAAACATGATGCACCCCCGGCCTAATCAAACAAGCATCAACAACCCATACCCCTCCAGAAAGCAGCAGTCTCATTCTTTGCGAGAATAGAAGGAAACGGCTGCAGACAAACAAGCCTATTGCCACGACCGAAGGAGAAGAAACCCCTGCGCCGGAGGAGGGAATGAAGCCCACCGACACGACCCCCAGAGGCTAATGCCAACAGGAAAAAGGCCTTCGAGAAACAATTCTGAACCTAAGGAGACACAACAAACCGAGGAGAAGAAAGAAAAGTGAGCACTCTGTCCAAATACCAGGACGGCTCCGGCGGTGCATAAGCAGACCGAAGGTGAAACAATGCACAAGACAACTTGTGAAACAGCGCAGATGTAACATCAATACCGAAAGCAAGCTGAAGCGGCTCCGCCAGCGCAGCACGATACAAGGCGACAGTGTTAGGCACAAGATGACAGTCCTGGAACAACCAAGAGAGAAAGGACAACACCATCCTAACAGAAAGCGAAGTACAACGACGAAAATGCAAAAACAACCAGAAGGACCACCAGGAACTTCATACTGCCACCAAGACAAAGCCCGCAGGTAGGACACTAACAAGGAAGCCACCTGATCACCATAGAGATGATGATAAACTCGAGTCAAAAAAAACCATACGCGAAGACTCGAGGAGAAGATCGAACAAGTCACGTGACGAACTGGTCCGATCTGCTGAAAGAGGCGGAGCCGCTGGAAAACCTCTGGGTTCGGACACAGAGCAAGCAGCGCCTGAAACCACAGCTGGGTCGGCCACCATGGAGCCAAGAAGACAACTCTCCTCTGGTAAGTCTCCAAGTGAGTCAGGACCTGGAGCAACAGCTGAACCGGAATAAAAAGGTACAGGAACCCCCACTTCAACCAGTAATGCCAAAAGGCATCGATCCTGATGGCCTCACAGTCGGGTAAAGGACGACACATACAGGAGAAGGCGCCATGAAGAGGTCCACCTCGGGCGTCCGAACATCTGGCAAAGCCTACGGAAGGAGTCGGCATCAACCGTCCATTCCGTAGACAGGGAAATGAAATGAGACAGGCTATCCGCCAAGACATTGGACACTCCCCGCACGTGAACAGCCAGTAGAGGCAAACCCCGAGAACTCGGCAGACGAGTCACCCGAAGCGACCAGCGCCAAAGAGCCAAGTACCGCATCAAACCCCCTTGGTCCAGGCAATGAACCACCAGGGAACAGTCCGAATGGCGACGTGTGACATCATACTCGTTTGCTAGTTTCTTTTTGGGGAGTTCCATCTACTTGTTCGGATTTTGGTAGCAATTTTAACCAGAATAGGGGTTTGATTTGGGACGCTTACCTTTCTGGGTGCCTGACCCGGTTGATGGCAGACATAGAATGCTTCCAACCACACAGGGGTTTCAATAGGCCATTGCTCCCCATGCCTCTCTGAGGGGGCCAGGTTCTGGCACGTGGTCCCCACTAGGCCCATAGAACACCACACACATGACTGATGCCAAAGTCTGACATTAGCATATCGGCCTGGATAAACTCCAGGGAGCCAAAGGGGCTCCCCCCAGAAAATGAGGGCAGAAATCAGAGGTAATGTATCAGACTGGACAAATCTCATGAGTAGAGTGCTATAGGGCTCAGTTCTTGCACCATAAATGTTCATTATTACATAAATGACCTATCAGATAGAATACAGAATTATATGAACATGTTTGCTGATGATGCAAACATATAAGGTAAGATAAGAAACTTAGACGATTGTCATGCTCCTCAAGAAGACCTAGATAAAATGAGTGTATGGAGCACTACTTGGCAAATAGAATTTAATGTGAATAAATGCCATGTTATGGAATGTGGAATAGGAGAACACAGACCACACACAATCTACAAATTATTTCACAAATCTTTAAAAAATACTCATAAAGAAAGATTTAGAGGTGGTTCTTGATAGAAAACTATCACCTGAGGACCACATAAAGAACATCATGCAATGAGCCTATGCTACACTTGCCAATTTCAGAATTGCTTTTAATTAACACTTCCACTCGGTAATAACTCAGCATTGCGTCATTCGTTTACTAGAGGGTAGTCCGGTAACGACGCACCACTGCATCGTTAACAGTGGCAAATTGGCAGCGGCTTCGGGAGGAGTGCGCCACGGTTTTGGACATTATATGCATATACACCTGTAGGGAATTTCATTGGGAATACATTGATACCAAAATGAAAGACCTAGGAACAAAATTGAGGTAACAAAGTTGAAAAGAGCATACCCATTTTATTGCTCTTTATTAGCGCTCACTGTGGTAACGCACCGTCACGTTCTCTGTTTGCTGTGGGTGGGACACCGGGCTTTTGGACTTTATATTTGCATATATTCCTGTAGGGAATTCTTTTGTGAACACAATGATACCAAAATGAAAGACCTAGGACGAGAGTTGACATGTCCAAAGTGAAGAGAGCGTACACATTTTATTGCTCTTGTACGCCTCCGGGTAACACGCTCTCACGTTCTCACTTTCTCGCCTGGCCTTTGAGCTTTATATTCATTTAGTCATGTAGAGATCATTTAGTCCTGTAGAGAATTCTATTGTGAACACATTGATACCAAATTGAAAAACCTAGGACGATAATTGAGATGACAAAGTTGAAAAAAGTATACACATTTCGATATGACCGCGCTTTCTATTGTAATGAGAGGCGCCTTGGGGTGGCGCAGCGCTCTCTTTCTGGTAAATTTCCTCTTGTCGGCGGGTGGAACGCGCCCCTGTTTTTGACATTATATGCATATACTCTTGTTGGGAATTCTATTGCGAACACATTGATGCCAAAATGAAAGACCCAGGACGAGAAATGAGGTGACCAAAGTGAAAAGAGTGTACACATTTTATCGCTCTTGCGCGCTCCCGGGTAATACGCTCTCACTTTGTTTGTTGGGGATGGTACGCCGAGCTTTTGGACTTTATATGCCTTTAGTCCTGTAGAGAATGCTATTGCAAACACAATGATATGAAATTGAAAAACCTAGGACGAGAATTGAGGTGACAAAGTTTAAAAGATTACACACTTTTCAAAATTACCGCACGCTCCCGCGGAGTGCCCAAACCCACCCAGAGTAGTGCGGTGCACGCGTGCCCAAAGCATCAAAGTGTTAAATACATGTATGGTGAAATATTAAATAAATTGTTCACGACCTTTGTTAGACCAAAGCCTGAATATGCAGCAGTTGTATGGTGCCCATATCTTAAGAAGCACATCAACAAACTGGAAAAGGTGCACAAGACATGCAACTAAATGGCTCCTAGAACTAAAGGCCAAGAGCTACAAGGAGAGGTTAGAGGCATTAAATATGCCAAAACTAAAAGAAGAAAAAAAAGGCAATATGATCACTACATACAAAATAGTAACAGGAATCGATAAAATTGATAGGGAAGAATTCCTGAGACCCGGAACTTCAAGAACAAGAAATCATAGATTTAAACCAACTACTTAAACTAACTACACAGAGCTGCCAAAGAAATAAGAAAATTTGTTTTCGCAAGCAGAGTGGCAGACGGTTGGAACAAATTAGGTGAGAAGGTGGTGGTCAAAACCGTTAGTAATTTCAAAGCGTTATATGACAAGGAGTGCTGGGAAGACGGGAACCACAAGCATAGCTCTCATCCTGTAACTACACTTAGGGAATTGCCCAGATACTTACACAAATGCATAAAACACACACAAACACACTTACCCTTAGTGTGGGTCCTCCCGTGCTGTTGCTATAATAGTACTGGCGAGTAGCATTCGCTAAGTGGTCCAGCCAGCCAATCTTGTGCGGTAAACCTGGCCGTTCAGCATTCCCAATGGCATACCTGTCATGCAGAAAAGTCAATTTAATAGTAATATGACTAATAATTAATGCTTAAATAAATCATGTAGTGTTAGGTCAACTTAGAAGCTGTTCAAATTTGATCAGCTATGTAAAAGAAAAGTAGTGAAAATAAATTTAAAATAAAATTAAACTTGTTAAAATGCAGTGCAAGTTTATACTTTAAAAAATTCAGTGGCAAAATTAATGAATTCTGTAGGCCTATTGTCCTTGTAAAACATCTTGGAACTAACAAATATCAGAATTACAGTACTCCTTAACATCTCTCAATGTCCAGAATGGAAGTAATTTCTGACAATGTCAGAAAATATTAATTCTTATATTTCTTTGTTAATGTTTTCAATTATTTCCTTATTTGAACTAATGTTGAAAAAGTAATAATGTTCTGTATTCATGTTCATATGTATACTTTTAATACAATAACTGCTAAAAGTCACCCAGTTTATTTAAGATTGTACAAATTAAGTATTGATTATAATTAAATGTCCTTTCCTGTTGAGCCCTCAGTAGGGCCATATTTTTTTTTTTTAGTTTTAGAAGAGCCCTGGTGGCTCCTTCAAGTTATCTCACAGATTTCTCTATACAAATGGGTCACATCAAACAAATTAGTTCTGTGTGGCCTACCAAGAACCAGATCCAAAAATTGGTCCTCTCAGAGAGGTATAGAGAACAAGTGACAATTCACCAGTGGAATCCCAGGTTGCATTGCTTGTCGTGGTGCAGTGGTCTAGGGCATTTGCATGGGAGTACCATGTGTATGGGTTCAGATCCTACTCACGGCTCTTACCGGTTTTCTCATTGATACATCACATTAATGTGATTTCTTTGTGGATTGTCTTCACAGATATCTGAATGTTGTACATCGTCTTCTTTTTGCAAAATAATCTATTACTCATTTTATTCATCATTATAATGTGGTGCTGTGAGCTCCTGCTGCATGCATCAGCCTAGGTAATGAGGCTCTCACAGCCAGGAGAGATGCAGAGGATTTTTTTTTTTTCAAGATATCCATTTACTGGAACCCTCAAGTCTTTGAACATTTTCTAAACACTCAAAAATTATTATGGACTTAGTTCTATCTGAGGTGTTTTGTATTAATTTACTGTTGGTTACAATTTTTCTTAATTGCTTGCCTAACTTCTGCTTCGTGTTGGTAATTTCTGATTTTGACTTCCAAACAAACTTTCTTGATCATCTCTTTCTCTTTTACAACTTGCACATACATTTCTTTGATTTTCTCTTTGCACTTTCCTAGTTCTTCATTAACCACCTTTATTTGAGTTGTCATGAAAGTTTCTTAGCATATCCTTGCCTGATCCTATGTTAGTCTGTAAGGTTCCTTTGAGTTTACCCGATTTATCTAATTTACCCGAAGGCCACTAACCCTAGTGGCCTCGATGAGGAGTTTTTCGCCATATGAGTATTTTCTTGTTAATTTCTTCAAAGTCCCCACTCTTCACTTTCCATACCTTTCCAATCTTTCACTAGTTCCTTGATTTGTTCCTCTTGTCTCTCTGACTAGTCAGTTAACCACTGGGCTGCGCCAACCAAGAAAACTCGGTTGGTGAGAAACTATGCCAACCGAGAAAATTTTCATTTTTTCATACCCATTCAAAATGTGTGCGCGGTAGGTTGTGTACGATATGGACTCTTGGGACCTTCAGTGAGAGGCAGCCATCTTGGAAAATATTCCCTGAATGCCCTAGGGATGCTAGCTGGGTTAGTCCTGAGTGAGCAACCATGGGTGGCGCACACGCCTCTGGCTCCCAAACACCTGGACGATGCGGTGTTGAAAGATTGCGCTCTGTTGGTGAAATTCAGACCTTATTGTTTGAAGAACATTAGAGTCACGATATTGGTGAAGCAGGGCACAAAAAAGGACCTAACACAAAGGTCAGATGCAAGTGATACAGCACCTATGAGGATGATACAGTGAACGTATCCAGTTGTAGCTCTGAGCACCACCCTTGCCCACCTATGCCATCTGGAATAAATATAGATGATACATAGATGAATCATTTTCTGCATTCAGTGATGATACATCTGATATAAGTGAAATAGATGAACAGTGTTAGCGGCTTCCATGGTGGTATTTTCCATTGATATTTTCAAGAATAGCTGAATCTCTTCCAGAATGCCTGAATCTCTTCCAGATAAACTGACACTCTTCGAGGTTAGCGAAATCTCTTCCACTGTGGGACCTTACAAAGCGATCTTTTCAAGACTAACTTACAAATTTATCTTTTCCTATAATCTTTTCAATACTACCTTATGATTTACAAGCTTGGCTACATACCACCTACAAGTACTAAAGCCAAGGGTGTACGTGAGTGAGTTATTTGCAAGCACACAGAACGAAGAAACAAAGCGAAAACCTAGATCTGTACCTCGTGCAATGAGAGCGAAGTCGCGCTGTGCACCATGAACTACTTCGTTGATTATTACTCACTTCAGAAGTACTGAGTAATTACCTAAGTGTAGTTAGAGGATGAGAGCTATGCTCGTGGTGTCCCGTCTTACCAACACTCTTTGTCATATAATGCTTTGAAACTACTGACGGCTCCACCACCACCTCACCTAACTTGTTCCAACCGTCTACCACTCTGTGAAAGTGAATTTTCTTATATTTCTTTGGCATCTGTGTTTAGCTAGTTTATACCTATGACCTCTTGTTCTTGAGGTTCCAGGTCTCAGGAAATCTTCCCTATCGATTTTATGAATTCCCGTTACTATTTTGTACGTAATGATCATATCACCTCTTTCTTCTGTCTTCTAGTTTTAGCATATTTAATGCCTCTAACCTCTCCTCGTAGCTCTTGCCCTTCAGTTCTGGGAGCCACTTAGTAGCATGTCTTTGCACCTTTTCCAGTTTGTTGATGTGCTTCTTAAGATATGGGCACCACACAACCGCTGCATATTCTAGCTTTGGTCTAACAAAAGTTGTGAACAATTTCTTTAGTATATCGCCATCCATGTATTTAAAAGCAATTCTGAAATTAGAAAGCGTGGCATAGGCTCCTTGCACAACGTTCTTTATGTGGTCCTCAGGTGATTGTTTTCTATCTAGAACTACCCCTAGATCTCTTTCTTTATCAGAATTCTTTAAAGATTTCTCGCATAATATATAGGTTGCGTGGTGTCTATGTTCTCCTATTTCACATTCCATAACATGGCATTTATTAACTGTATGGTGCCTGGCTATTTAGCATGTATCACCCACAGACGCATACCAAAAAAAAAAAAAAAAAAAAATTCTTCTGTTAATTTGTGTTCACTGATCACGGGAAAAATAATAATAAAATCCTAAGTGGCATATATTACTCGCTATAGAGTGGGGATGTCTGGCAAAAACCAGCGTTTAATGTAATGAAATAAAATTTTCTGGGTGAGCCCCGCAGGCTCCCTGGAGCTTATCGGGCTAATGTATGTTATGATTGACCGGGACATTAGCTATGGAGTTCAGACCTACCAGGCACCAGTGCCAGAACCTGGCCCCTTCATTGAGGTTTCAGGGAGCAATGGCCCTGGAAAATCCCATTATGGTTGGGGGTTTTCCTTATCTGCCATCGACCGGGGTTAAGCACCCAGAAAGGTAGGCGTAACAAAAACTCCACATGGTAAGAAACAACAAAAATCGAACAGAGAGGTAGAAAACTCCCTACAATCCCAAGGAAACAATCAAACAATCAATTTACTGCCACGCCGGTCGTCCGTGCAGCCCTCCCCTCCCCGGGAGGGGGAAGGGGGGGCCCCAGACCTCACCACGCCGGCTGCCTTCAGCTCGGAAACTAGGCTTCAACCAATGCAAAAAATCCTGCCGACCAGATGGGAGGGAGGGTAGCCAGGGAGCCTCCGGTGCTCACCCAGAAAATGGCGTTTCATTACATTCAACGCTGGTTTTCTGCCGGGAACCCCTACGGCTCCCTGGAGCTACATACCCAAAGAGAAGGAAAATAGGGACTTACCCGGGAGGCGGCGGCCACAAACTCCTTAACCCGAAGTCGAGACAACTGGCTGCAACCTGCGACCCAAAGCAACACAAGAACGCTGAGGAGTAGGGATGTTCACCAAATAACGGGCGGCCAGGACCCTGTTCGACTTCCAAAATCCATGAGGCTGAATATGTGCCCAAGACATATTACCAAACACGGCAGCCAAAGCTGCAAACTTCCGAACGTCATGGGTGCGAGGATAGACCGCAGGCGGGTTAGACTTAATAACCCTACGGACAACCTGGGAGACCCGAGCCCTGGAACAGGGAACGAGGGAAACCGGATCAACCCAAAGTGCATCCCCAGCCACCCCAGCTGAAGCGTGCAGGTAACGGCGAAGTGCTGCAACCTGAAACAACACATGATGCACCCCCGGCCGAACCAACCAAGCATCAATGACCCACGGACCCTTCGGGAAAGCAGCCGTCTCGTTCTTCGCCAGAAAAGATGGAGAAGGCTGCAAAAGGACAAACCTACCCCCAGGACCAAAAGAGCAGAAACCCCTGCGCCGGAGGAGAGCATGAAGCTCCCCTACCCGGCCCCCAGAGGCCAATGCCAACAAAAACAAAGCCTTGGAAAAACAATCCGGAACCGAAGGGGCCACCACAAACCGAGGAGAGGAAAGATAGGAGAGCACCCTGTCCAAAGACCAGGACGGCTCAGGAGGCGCATGAGCAGGCCGGAGTTGAAACATAGCACGGGAAAGCTTACGAAACGAGGCGGATGTGACGTCCACCCCGAAAGCTAGCTTGCGCGGCTCCGCCAGCGCCGCACGATATGAGGCGACAGTATTAGACATCATATGACGGTCCTGAAAAAGCCAAGAAAGGACAAGACAACCCTATCCGAAAGAAAGGACAACCTACGAAGAGCCAGAAAATGGCAAAAAGAACACCAGGCAACTTCATACTGTCGCCGAGACGAAGCTCTCAGGTGGGACACCATCAACGAAGCCACCTGATCACCATAGAATTGGTGATACACCCGCGTCAAAAAGACCAGACGCGAAGAGCAGAGGGGAAGGTCGAACCAGCCCCGTACCGGATCGGACTGACCTGCTGAAAGAGGCGGAACCGCGGGAAACGTCCCGGGTTTGGGCACCGAGCCAATAGCACCGGAAACCAAGGCTGGGCCGGCCACCAAGTGGCCACAAGGTCTACTCTCCCTGGGAATGTCTCCAACCGAACCAGAACCTGAAGCAACAGCTGGACCGGGGGAAAGAGGCACAGGTAACCCCACCTCGAACAGTCCTGCCAAAAGGCATCCACCGCGAACACTCCGCAGTCGGGGAAGGGCGTCACATATATTGGGAGACGCCGAGACCACGCCGACGCGAAGAGGTCTACATCTGGGAGACCGTACGTCTGGCAGATCCAACAAAACAAGTCGTCGTCAACCGTCCACTCCGTGGACAGGGGATGGAAGCGAGACAATTCGCCCACCAGAACGTTGGACACTCCCTGGACATGAACCGCACTGAGAGCTAAACCCCGAGAATCCAGCAGATGAACCACTCGAAGGGACCAACCCCAAAGAGCCAAGGACCGAAGAGAACCCCCGCGGTTTAGGCAATGAACCACTGGAGAACAGTCCGAATGGAGGCGAATGGTCAATCCCCGAGCAACACGAATCCTCTGAAGCGCGAACCAGACTGCTACAAACTCCCGAACCGTGCTGTGAACCCGACGGAAGGACGGACCCCACCGTCCCTGGCCTGCCTGGTGAGCACTGGTCACAAAGCCCCAGCCGAGAGACGACACGTCCGTGAACACATCGAGCTAGGGCTCGGGAAGGCACCAAGGTACCGAACCCCGAAAACCCCGAAGAGGAAGCGGGTGATGCAGCAACCGACACAAGACCCCCGGAGGACGAACCCAACGATCGCGAGAGAGGCGGAAAGGATTTCCCCTTAGAAACCAAAACAGACGCCGAAGGCAAACCCGGCCCAGCGGGTAGACTAGCATGACGAAGTTCAGACTCCCGCACAACCGCTCAAGCAACCGCCGAGTGACCCGGGACCCCCCTCAGAAACGGCCGACGGCGGTCCTGCATCCGCCGCAACGCCTCTGGACGGAGAGACAAGGAAGTGGTCCGAGAATCCCAAACAAAACCTAGCCAGGTCCGAACCTGGGACGGAACCAAGTGAGACTTCCTCCAGTTCACCAGGAACCCGAACCTGGTGAGCTGGGAAAGAACCATATCTCTGGCGAGCAGACAAGCTGACCGACTGGGAGCCCACACCAGCCAGTCGTCGAGGTAGGCCAAAACCCGAATCCCTAGAAGACGCAGACAGGTCACCACAACCCGGGTCAGATGCGTAAAAACGCAAGGTGCCAGATTCAAGCCAAAAGGTAGGCATCAAAAACGTAAGCGTGATGCCCCACCACGAAACCTAACCAGTCCCTGAACCCTGATGAATAGGAACGTGCCAAAAGGCGTCCTTGAGGTGCAGGGACACCAACCAGGCACCCGGCTCCAACAGAAGCCGGACCTGAGACAGTAGTCATCCAAAAGGAGGGGCAAGGAATCCAGGGGGTTCAGACGGGACAAGTCCAGAATGAACCTCAGATTCGCACAGTCTCGTTTCGGCACTGGCAACAGACAGGAAACCCACCTGAGGGACGTAGTCGTTTCAACCACATCCAAGCGCACCCACTCCAAGACGACTTGACGAAGCGCAGGAGAAGAAATCTGCCCGGTTACCCTGAACCCTCCAAAAGAGGACGAATCGCCCAACGCCACCGCAGGCCAGATGACACGACTGAAAAGGTCCACAAATCATGGGACCACGTTTGAGCAAACAGAGCAAGCCTCCCCCACATCACCCCGTCAACGGGGCAAACCGCAAAAAGGGGCTGGCCCCGAAGGGAACAAAGGCTCAGAAACTGGCACTAATGGCCCACCTCGACCAACGGAACCCGGAACCCTGGCACGACCCCTCCGAAACTGCCGAGAACAACCACTTCGGAGAATCAACAAGTTCGCCATAGGACGACAACTAGATGAAGCCGCATTCAGAAACAGAGACCGCAGTCTCTTCAAACAGCAACAGACAAAACGGAGACGAAAACCTAAGAGCCAGGGCCCAAGCGGATTCCAAAGAGATGGCGAGCACAGCCTGGCGGCACGCGAGGCGAGAAGCAAAAAACAGACACCACTTCCTTCAGGATGGGCGCAAAGAGCTTCAAAGGTGCAGCCGACGCCCTAGCTGCAGAAGTCAGCGCCCCAGACGAAGGCCCTTCACTCAACGCTCCTACATCCTCCTGCAGCCAAGCAGAAGACAGTTCGAAAAGGGAAAAGAAACGTAAGACCGAAGCCAAATGCCCACGGGCGCGCGATTTCTCCGCAACCAACGAAACAAAGCTGAGGAACCTGCACGTGAAGCTAGAAAAGGCCAACATCCCGAGAAAGCACAGGAGCGAACAAGCACGCATTAAGGTGCTCAAACTCGCCCCCCAGGTAAACCTGCATAAAAGTAGAAGTTTCCCGCCAATCAAGCGTGCGGGTCCGACAGAACCCATGCCACGCCCCCAACGAAAAGAAAGGGCAGTCTGCCAGCCAGGAAGACTCCGGAACCTCCAAACGCACCCAAAAATGGGAAGAAGAACCAAACTCAAAGAGGACGGATCCATTGCAGAAGCATAACCCGGGTCTCGCAAGAGGTATGCAGCAAGAGCTTCCCGAGCCACCTTCGCAGAGATACGGGAAGTAGAAAACCTCTGGAAAGACGGATCTGAGATACCCAAAGGCGCCCGGAACCGAACCCGGGGAGGAGCCGAACCCAAATCATACAGGGAAGAGGGGTAAGAAAATCCCTCCCCCTGCAACAATAAGCCCCACGAGGAAGGCAAAAGCACCCAAGCGGGGTCAAAGGGGGCCTAAGGCCCCCAGGTTGACTCCTCCCCAGCCCCAGGATCCCCCATGTCGGGACCCGGGGCAGAGCCGTCCTCCAAACCCTCTACCCCTGAAGAAAAGGCACAAGTCCAAGGGAAAGACAGACAAGAATGGGGTCTGCTGGTGGGACCCAGAAGCCTCGGCAGGAGGAACCAGCTCAAATGCCTCCGTCCCCGGCCCGGATGGGGCAGCCCTCGAGGCAGCCCGAGTCTCATTACCAACTAAACCCTGTGCCGAGACCAAAACCCTCAAACGTTTTGGAGCCGGACACGGGGGGGAGGTGCAGGAAGAACCACAGGGGAAGGACCAGGGGGCACGGCAGGAGCCAAACCCAGAGCGACTAACACCCCCAGGTCAGGGTCCCTAAAACCAAAACGGGGCAGCCTCGGGGCATCCGGGTGGGAGCACAAAAACCCAGATGTGGGTTTGTGTGTGGTGTGGGAACACCACACAAAAACAGCAGAGAACACCCCACGAGGCAAACACCGCCCAGGAATTTGAAGCCAGAGAAGAATCTATCCCGGTTGACACTAGCCTGTGAACTGAAGGCAGCCGGCGTGGTTAGGTCCAGGGCCCCCCCTACCCCTCCCGGGGAATGGAGGGCTGCGCGGACAACCGGTGAGGCAGTAAATTGATTGATTGTTTCCGTGGGATTGTAGGGAGTTTTCTACCTCTCTGTTCGTTTTTTGTTGTAGTTTCTTACCATGTGGGGTTTATTTTGTTACGCCTACCTTTCTGGGGGCCTAACCCCAGTCGATAGCAGATAAGGAAAACCCCCAACCATATGGGGTTTTCCAGGGCAATTGCACCCTGAAACCTCTCTGAAGGGGCCAGGTTCTGGCGCTGGTCCCTGGTAGGTCTGAACTCCATAGCTAATGTCCCGGTCTAACAAAACATACATTAGCCCGATAAGCTCCAGGGGCTCCCCACAGAAATGAAGACTAACAGGGCATGTAGTCAGTAAATAGCCAGTGATTGAGGGTGGCTACCTAATGGCAGTTGGCTGACAGTAGGAAGGGAACTGGTTGCCATATGGATTGCCTGTTTTCTGCATTGGTTTCTTTTTACAGTACAGTACAATTTCATTTTTGGTTAATTTTTTCCCGATTTGTTTTCTTGTATTTATTATTTATATTTTACCTTGCTATTGTCTGTTTTGATTCACCATATCTTTCTGGTTGCTATTTCCCTCAGTTAATGTGATCCTGTCCCCTCTTAAGTGCAAGGAGCAGACGAGACAACACTTATCTCCGGTAAATATTTAAAGACTCGCAGCGGCCTGGTATGATTCAAATTGGGTGGAGCTAACAAAGATGTAGTAACAGGGAGCCACTGATGGCTCCATTAATGGCTCCCTGAAGTGCATCAAGACTTGTCATACATTAGGAGCCCAATAATTAACAAGCTTCATAACTCACTACAGTATATACTAGTGAAAAAATGAGTACCAAGCTCATTCCAGTTATTAGACTTCCAATACTCTAAAAAATAAATTTGTGATAAATGCCATAATTTATGAATCAATGAGCCAAATAGCATCAAGAAGTATCAATGACTCATATAATGGCAAGTAAATGAGCTGCAACTACCAAATCTTACTCTACAAATGAGAGCCAGTGAGTACCACATCTTACCATATACAAGCGAGCCAATGAGCAATGAGGGCAAAGGTGGCCATTAGCAGGAGAAGGACGGCTGCACCATACTCTGAATACCTATCAATTTTTCTGGCAACCCTCACCAGCCGCAGGAGCCTGGCGGTCTTCAGAAGGCCGATGAGGGTCGTTGTCTGGAGTTTGGAAACAGAAGAATTTTAAAATTTGTTTATGACAAGACAGAAAACAATGGACAATACTCAATAACCGAGGCTTCTTTTATTGTGACACATACTAGTACCAATGTACTAATAGTGTTGTCTTAGCCTAGTTTTTTTTTTTTTGCTACATTTATGAAAATTTTATATAACTTAGTGTACATAAATTTATCTAGCAAAACGACAGATGTCCTTAAGTTTTATCAATTACTACAAACTAAGCTATTTGAATAGGAATTTTAACTTTTATATTTTAACCGGAGTAACCTGTTTATTTCTTTACTGGAGCTTGAATTATAATGGCTGCACACCAATGCTACTGATGGATAGATGACTGATACTATTATGTATTATCATTCTGTATTATATAGGTAATGTGTATTATCATTGAAGTTGTGCCACCCAGATTTCTATTTTCTTTATTACTAGGCTTGCCTAACAAGATTCTAGCCACTGCAGCAAGCCTTATGTGGCTTGCTTAAGAATAATTAACCCTTTGTTAACACTGACATATGCCTGCCCATCCTCCTGTTTTGGTAGTATTTACAGCAACGACGAGGTCCATAGTATATATACCAATGGACAACAAAATCAGAAAGCTGAAATCGGCACTATAGAGTTGGACAAACCGGAAAACTATTTTCTACTTATGTTGTAACGACAAACAAAACTAACCTAACCTAACCTTCCTAGACATAATACACGATATCTAAGGCCTAATATAGGACATGTGTGTGCTATACTAGGCTTAGGAATATTTAAGTTTATAATTAGCTTTATTTGTTTCGACTATAAAGTGAATAGTACTAAGTTCTACTATCTAATTGCTAGAACAGCAATTTTTGTATTATGGTGCACATAGTTACGAAACTACTATCTAAACAGGAGAATAGGTTGCATATGCCTCTAAACCATAATCAAAGGATTAATAGCATAAAACAGATCTGAAAAATAAGCAAAGAAACTAAACAATTAAGAAAATCCTCCCAATGAGGTGGTTGCCCCAGTGATATTTTACCTCTTCAATGGAATGAGGTGAAGACATGCATATCTAACGTGTGAAAGTCCTTTCTACAGTCACAGTGAACACACTACACATTTTTTTCAAAATTGTTTTGTGTTCATCCTGATAAAGAAGTGAATGCTTCATGCATAGCATCTTAGCTTTGAATAAATAATTATTTTTTAAGATTAAAGTTTACAAAATTTTTAGTTCTCAAAGAAACAAAAGAAATGCTGGACCAGTTGCACTAATGTGACTGTGGCTGACTGCGACTGTCAAAGATACAAATGATGAGATGGTAGTCAGATCATTAAAAAGTAATTCTAATGATAAGTCATCCTAGAAGATGTGCTAAAATCTTCAATCATTTCAAAATGCACTCATGAATTTTTAAAGCTGATTTGTTTAAAGACAGATAGAAATAATAGTTCACAAAAATTAATATAATACAAGCATTATAATAGAGGTACAGTAATTATAAAAAAGGATATACAAAGATAGAAGAGTAAGTTAAATAACAAAATATAAAAATATTGTAAAATAAATAAACATCCACCATACATTCCCAGGATGACTTATCATTTGATTCAGTTTGACATGCCACGGCTAGAATTATGTCAAAAAGCTTGCAACACAAAATCTGTTTTCATATGGAGATTTTTATTAAAGCTGTTCTTCGGTGTCTTCATCAACACCTCGACTGGCTGTAAATACTTCTAAAAAATTACTTCTAGGTAACATGAACTATCATTCTTTGCAAATTAATTTAAATTAATATTGTACTATAAATCTTCAGTGAGTCTGTAGTGGAATCTATATGTGCGAGATAAAATATGAAAACAGATTCACAATAGAGTTAAAAATTAACAAAGGGAAAAATTAAGTATATGATTAGATAGGTATGGCCATACCTCATTGTGTTTCCCTTTTGGTGAATGGATTGGTACACGAGAGGTCTTAATAATTAACCTATGGGTTTAAGGGACAAGGAGGAAAGGAAAGGGGGTGTGGTTTATAATAATCCTTTAATAATTTAATCAATGTGTCATTCAGGAGCATATTATTCTACACATTCCTAATCTGAAGAGCTTTTTAAGAAAAATTTAATAGTAAGCAGACCATTGAGAAAGTCAATGTAAAGGAACTACACAAGAACTTACAAGAAACAACTTTCCCAGGGGGCTCTGATAACTGCAGGATAAGAATTATGCCACGTGCATTCAGCACGTTGCCATACATAAAATACTTATCTTATTGACCTGTTCTCTACTAGGGATACTTATAAGTGCACTATTACTTGTTTTGCAAATTAATTATCGAATATTACATATTCGTCTCGACACGAGTCTAACCCCACAGGCATTTCAGCCCTAGTACTGGACCCTGTTTGATGGGCTTTCACTCGTGGACAGGACGTATACACTTTTATTTCATCTCCAAGAATATCGAGAAAACCCAATTAAAACCGAGGACTATGTAGATAAAGAGACTCAAGATATTGGGCACATTTTGCCTACAAACCATGTCAAATGAAAAATTGGAGCATCATGCATTGTCTCATTGTTCTGCAATGGCTGAAACAGGCTCAGCATTCATGCTAATTTTGTAAGGAGAATGAATTTCAAGAAATAGACCCCAAAGATTGTATAGATGGGAAACTATGTATTAAAGATCACAGTTGTAAACACAGAAATTTAAAATTAAAACAACATTGACAACACACAGCAATAAAGACTATCGAATAATATTTATTTATACGGATTATCTACGAAATGATCAAACTTTAAGAAGACGATGAGTCACGATAAAGTGACTGAAGATATGAAGACAAGAACACACACCAGAAGATGAGAAGACGACGACGATGTTTCGGTCCATCCTGGACCATTATCATCAAGTCAATTGTGACTCTCCTAAACCACTATCACAATCTACATAATAATGGTCTAGGTCGGACTGAAATGTAGTCGTCTCCTCATCTTCTGGTGTGTGGTTTTGTCTTCATCAAAAGTGAAAATAAGACGTACAAACAGAAAGATCCTATACTTATGTACAGCAGAAAGGTCCTATCCTATAGAGGAGATTATAACAAAGGAATAGGTTAAGTATGAACTCTATTCAACACAAAAAAGCAGTATCTCACAAAAAGGCAATAGTCATAAATATGCAGACGATGAGTCACAATAACATGGCAAAAGATATGAAGACTATATTACACACCAGAAGATGAGGATACGACGAAGTTTTGGTCTGTCCTGGACCATTATCAAGTCAATTGTCTCGATAACAATAGACTTGATAATGGTCCAGCATGGACTGAAATGTCGTCGTCATCTCCTCATCTTCTGGTGTGTGTAGTTTAGTCATATTAGTCATAAATGATGCATGAGAACAACTTTAAAAAAGTTTTGTCATTGCTTTAAAGTTTAGCTATATGGTTGAATGGTGGGCACTTGTGTCTAGTCCGAGCACTATTGTGTTATGCAGAAACCAGAAAATCACAGTTATGCACTATGGAAGAACATTTGTACTTATAAGCAGATACATTATGTCATACAGAAGGGCAATAATATTTACTTGCGGTTGAACCTACTAGCAAAAAAATTCCTAAATATAAATAACAATGTCTTGAATATAACATACAAAATGCTACAAACAAATGAAATTCCTTGGAAAATAACATTCTACACATTAAAAAATTCTGCAGAGTAGGAATGCCCTGGGAAGGAAAGTCTTAAATTACAGCTGAACATAAGCTTGAAAACTTAATTAACATAAGCCTGAAAACTGATTAAGCCTCTTAATCAACACCAAATACTTCACAGCAAAAAAGCAAAATCTTTCTATTCAAAGAACAGTATTTAAAAAAAGTAAAGCTTAATTTCACTACTTGCCATCTGTAGGTCCTAAATGAATTAGCATACCACTACAGGCATATGTTAGCCTGAGGTAATAAACGGCAAAGGCATACCTAAGCAGCATACCGGAAGGCATAAATCAGTCTGTAGTAAAACATTACAGCAGGCTTCCTAATCATGTAGTAGCATACCATACGAGGCATGCCTCAGCCTGCAACAGCTTAAGAAAGCATACTTTGCCTTAGAGCAACACACCATTTAATGGTTGCATGCTGAAGGAGGTATGCACCCTCTTAGTGGCATACTACAGCTGCCATATTTTAACAGTGGCATATTACAAATAAAATACCACTGTAACCATATACCATTAAAGCAAACATCAAAGATTACAGTAGCATACTACTGAAGGCAGAATTTAATCTGCTAGGGTACATCACTACAGGCATACCACTTTAACACTAGACTACTGAAGGCATACCTCAATCATAAGTGATACATCATTTTGAGGGGCATCACTAATGGCAGACCCCAGCCTTTGAACTTTATGATTAGAAACTTACTTAGCTGTGTTAACAGACATCACCTAAGGCATACCACCAGAGGTAAACCATTTGTCCAGTAAATCTAAGCTTGTGGTCAAGACACCAACAATATAAGTCACTGTCCTTCAAGTGGTGGTAGATTCGCTAGAGAACCATCACCAGCACCTATGTCTGGAATTGTTAAGTTCTTGATCCCTACAAACATGCTAAATGGACATAACACCTTGCACCTTCAGAATGATTAACTCGTGTGGTGCCTTAGTCAGACAAAAGATATGGCAGGAATTGGCCAAAAAATCCAATATTCTGGATTTTGTTTTTAAATATTGATGGCACTCATTCACAAATATTACATAATCGTGAACACAAGGGTAAAATTAAGCAGAATTGACAGTGCATGGCGATTTCAAACATCTCCAGCCATAGACATCACGGGTCCTCATTTTTGGGATGTGTTCATAAAGGATACCAGTAGCTAGCCACTTGAGGGACACAACTAGGATTTACACTGTCCTGTGCATGAGAGTACATACAAGACAGTTGCACAACTGGCTCATTTCTGTATCTACAGTATTATAGTGAAGTGAGGACCATCCCTTCATCACCTAATAAAGGTTTATTGTAAACTGTACAGCAAGAGAATAATACACTACAGGTAATTACAACTTAATTACATGTACAAATTTGTACATTTTATAAAAAATTGCATATATTCATAAAAACTTCACTGCAATCTGATAAGACTCAGGTAGTCCAGAAGTTTAGGAGAATAAATAGACGCACCCCTAGCTCAGGCTGAAGGAAGGGCATTGAAGGTGTGATGGAGGTGGCTGCGTTCCATGATGACTAGGGCTCACTTTAAGGGGATGTAGCTGTGGTGGCGCTTAACTGTCGGGGTGGTGGCAGTGGCAAGCAACCAGTCCCTCACCACTACCACCACCAGTTGCCCATATGACACGTCCAACTGTGCTGCAGCATTAGGACCACTGCCATTCTAAGTTTTAGTGGACACATGACATTCTTGGATTGTAGCCTCAAAATGCATGCTGTTGGATTTAGGGGCTCCGCAATGTCTGGCGGTTGTATTATCATGAGTCTTGGGCAATTAGTGGGTGGGTGACGAGAGAGAGAGAAAGAGAGAGAGAGAGAGGTGGAAAAAACCCTACGAGTGCTGCCCACTGTCTACTGAGCGGGTGGAAAGTCGCACAACACTGACAACTGAACACCGGGCAGACAATACCAGGCATGTAGAATAATATGGCTTCCCGAATTACCTTCTCATTTTCCTGGATAATGCATGGAAAAGGTAAGAAAACAATTAGTGTTTTCAAGAGTGACAGGAGGCAGGGGTCGGGCCAAGACGATAGAGCAGACCAATCATTCAAGGTCAATGATTAACATTGGCCCAGCATAGAACCATGCACTGCCATTAGAAGCTAGCGCTTCCCTGCAGTTGGGGAGGCGATACATGCGCACTTAACCTCCTGCTATGAGCTGCTCGCCCCACTCCATGGACATTTTGTAATCTGAATTAAAATTTTGCTGCAGTTTATTGCATTCAAGTAGTCCACCATTAATAGGAGGTTGTTCATGTGCAATTCACTAGCCCTTAGCAAAGCTAAACATGACAATTAGCCCCCCCCAAAATTAACAAAGCTTATAAACTTTTCCCTCGCATGGAATCACTAAATACATTTCTTAAAGCTATGAGGAGTGATGTGGGGAGCAGAAAGCATAGCAGGGGTCTTAGTAGTAGGAGGAGGAACTAAGGAAATGGTTTATCTTATCATGATAACAGGTACTCTACAAATGCTGAATATCAATGCCACTGGTTGTGCATACTCAAATTCAAATTCAAGAGAAATTTTCCCAGTGCATGATAAGCCTCGGTGGGTCAAATTCATTGCCTGTGCTTGACAACAAATTCAATTGGCCAAGGCTCCAGCAACAGCACCAGCATGTAGCGTACCAGCATGCATGTTGTTGGGGTGTAAAAATTAGATTTTTTTGTTTTAATACAGGTGAATTTTGCCAAACAGTTTAGATGTGATTTCATTGAGCAAAATTAGTATACAAAAATAAAGTGTTGCAGGCTGCACATAATTGGTGTCATAAGGCACATGTGCTATAATCACTTTACAGCTTGGGATATTTTACCTTTTCATCATCTGCCTCCTGCTGAAAAATGTCAGAAATACAATTAGAAAAATGAGATACTGGTAAGTTTCTGAGCATACAGCAGGCGATCGGGCAGTCACGCCGGCACAGGCAAAATGAAACCCATGGAAATATATTACATCTGTACATACTTTAATCCCAAGTAAATTTATAGAACATCATAACTAAGTACTGAACTAAATCTCAGAAGTATACAGAAAATCACAGACATACATACAGTGAACAATTAAAAACTAAATGCAGTAAAAAGCTACAAAAATATAAAGAATAAAGTCCTAGTACTGTATATAGATACATGTTCCTGTAAACCCATCAGAATATACACAATAACCTTAGGTTTCTCTGTTAAGAAAAGACCAGCATTAAATGTAATGAAACACCATTTTCTGGGCGAGACCCAGAGGCTCCCTGGAGATATACCGGCTAATGTGTATATATTAGAATGTGGCAACAGTCAGTCTATGGAATTCTAGAACTACCGGGGACTACGAGCCAGAACCTGACCCCCCTCAGAGAGGCACAAGGAGCAATGGCCTATAGACACCCTCATGTAGTTGGAAGCAGTCTATGTCTGCCATTGACCAGATCAGGCACCCATAAAGATAGGAATCCCAAAACAAACTAAAGCTGGTTAAACATTGCAAACTGAAAGCCGAACGAGCAAACAGATCTCAAAAATCAGAAAACAAGCAAACAAGCATGACGTCACAACAGCGGCTATGCTGCTATCTGTGCAACTCCCCTCTCCCCGGGAGAGGGAAGGGGGGTCCCAGACCTGCCACACTGGCTACCTAGCCCCAGTTCAAAGGCTGAATATCAAAAAACACGATAAAATGTCGACCGGAGAGAGGGAGGGTTGCTGTGGAGCCTCCAGGTCTCACCTAAAAAATGGCTTTTCATTACATTCAATGCCGGTTTTCTGTGGAGAGCCCCCTCAGGTTTCCCTTAGGCTACACATATGGGAGAAGGGCCCAGAAAATTAACAAGATACCGTGCGGCCAGGACCCTGTTCGACCTCCAAAAGCTCCGTGCCTGAATGTCAGTCCAGGACATATTACCAAAAACAGCAGCCAAAGCCACGAACTTACAAGAGTCGTGGGGAAATGGATACACTGCAGGCTGGCTGGACCAAATAAGCCTCCAGACAACCTGGGAGACCCGCACCCTAGAACAGGGAAGAAGAGAAACCAGGGTCAACCCAAAGTGCTTCCCCTGCCACAGACCCTGTGGTGCGCAAGTAACGGCAAAGAGCTACAACTGGACACAAAACATGATGCACCCCCGGACAAACCAACCAAGCATCAACCACCCAAGGACCCATATGGAAAGCAGCAATCTCATTATTTGCCAGAAAAGAAAGACAGCTGCAAAATGACCACCAGGACCAAAAGAGCCAAAACCCGTGCCAGAAGAGAGCTCCAAAACCAGCTGAACCTAGGACAGAGTGGTTAACCGAAAGGAGGGGCAAAAGACCCAGGGGTTTAGATGTGACAAGTCTAGAATGAACCTCAGGTTCGCACAGTCCCGTTTCAGAACTGGAAACAAGCAGACACCGTCATTTCAACCACGCCAGAGCGTACCCACCCAAGGATGACCCAACAGAATGCAGGGAAAGAGGCCTGCCCCACCAGCCCCAAATCCCCTGAAGGAGGAGGAGCCACCCAACTCCATCACAGGCCGGAGGAAATGACCCGAAACGCTCACAAATCGTGGGACCAGGCGCGAGCAAACACCACGAGCCTCCCTCCCACCGCTCCATCAATGGGGCGAACTGCAAAAGGACTGTCGATTCTTGTGAAAGCCCGACCGACGCTCAGAGCGAGTACTGCGCCGACCAGATGTCGATGGCTCCGCAGGAGGGGCCGGTCCCAAATCTGGCATCAAAGCTTATAACGAAATTGTTCCGGGCAGGGCATGGCACGAAAACGGAAAAGAAGCACAAGACTGAAGCCAAATTCCCACATGCGCGCAAATACTCGGCCACCATGGTAGCCGTGAGGGAGGGAACCTGCACGTGAAGCTACACCTGGCCGATATCGCGAGGAAGCAAAGGGGAGAACAGGCATGCTTTAAGGTGCTCCGTTTATTCCCCCTCATGTAAGATATGGGATTGAAAGTCGTACCCTAGAGTATCGCTAACAACATCCGCTCTTACTCTCTTTGGAGAACAAGCACGTATTGAGGTGCTACAACTTGACCCCTACCCCCATGTGAGGTACGGGATTGAAAGTCGTACCCTAGAGTATCGCTAACAACATTCGCTCTTACCCCTATTATAAGTAATGGGGGGGGGGAAGGGAGGAAGTAGATATGTATATAGAAGCAACACACTCAACTCTATTCTACATGGGACAAGAAATACACCTTGGGGAACAATTTCACAAAGGTTTTTTTATTTAACACAGATTATCTTACACTGACTAGATGGAAGGGGGTGGGAGGTTACATGGATTACACACAGGATTATTAAGGACAAGGGAGGGATTCCTTCAAGCAAACACAAGCCTTAGAGTGAATTAACAATTGGATCCTCACAACAGGCAAAGTTTTCACAAACTGGGACTTTAGGTCATTACTATACTCCACTCCTCCTGGGTGACTGCAAAAGGTATGGGTTTTATCAATACACTGTTCTGACCACAATACACAAAAGGGGCGGGGGTAGACAAAGTAAATGGGGATAAGAACATGCACAGAGATCTGAATAAATGAATTAATAACACCAAAACATCACCTACACACAGGGTTCCATGAATAACTAATTCTTAAGACTTCCTATTCTTAACTCATACAAAGAGGGAGCACCACTCTATACCCTGGAAACAAACTGAAACTGTCTATTTTCCGCTTGTTACAACTTGTTATAAAGTTGTTACATCTTGGCTTAACGTGTTTATGACATACAGTATTAGAATGTTACAACTTGCTATATTGGTTGTTATAACTGGTTAGGAGGTGTTAAAACTTGTTCAAACGTTGTACCAACGTCATAGTTTCGGTGTGTGTTTGGTGGGTACCGATATAATGCATTTATTGTTATTGTAGGAGACCATCACAAGTCACAAACGTGACGATTGTCCTTTCCCTGACTGCTCCACACCAAGTGAACAAGCGAGCTTGCACATATCTCTAACTGCTTGGTTCCAAAAATGTTTCATCCATACACACGTGTCATACACATTTCCCAGTAGTTCATTTATATGTCTTATAACATTCCAGGCTGTTTTTCTACATTTAACACTGTTGTTTCTCTATATTTTCTTACACTGAATATACTTTTTAAACATTTTATTTACTTTTGTTTACACTGTTTTTGGGGGGATGGCATTTTCCTGTTAAGACAATGCTCTGCGCATGTGCAGAACTGCCTATTGTGCTAGCAGGGGATTTCATCTGTAAGAGTTCCAGACTGTTTTTCAACATTTAACACTGCTATTTCTCCCTTCTCAAAGGTCTCTCTCTTTTACACCCAGGTAAACCTGAACAACTGTAGTCAACTCCCGCCATTCAAGCGTGCGAGTCCAACAGAACACTTGCCAGGCCACGCTTCCACCCAAAAGTAAGGGCAGCCTGCCAGCCAGGAAGACTCCGGCACCTCGTAACGCACCCAGTCAGGAAAAGAGGAGCCAAACTCAAAAGAAGGATCCATCATCGAGGTGTAATCTGGGTCTTGCAGGAAGTAAGCTGCAAGGGCCTCCTGCACCAACCTTGGAGAGATGTGGATAGCCGAAAACCTCCGGAAGGAGGGAACCGAGGAACCCAAGGGAACCCAGTAACCAAACCCAGGAAGGAGTCGAACCCATACCAAACTCGTACAGGGAGAGGAGATAGGAAAATCCCTCTCCTCTGTAACAACAAGCCCTGTGCCGAGGGTACCAGCACCCAAGCGGGGTCAAATGGGACCTAAGCCTCCCAGGTCAGCTTCTCCCCAACCCTGGGATCCTCCACGGCAGGACCTGGGGCCTGAGCTGTCCTCCAAACCCTCTGCCTCTGGAGAAAAGACAAGAGTCCACTGGAAAAGCAGGGAAGAAGGGGGCCCGCTGGCACGACCTGAAAGCCCCGGCAGGAGAAACTGGCTCAAATGCCTCCGCCGCTGATCCAGAAGTGGCAGTCCCGAGGCTGCCCGAGTCCTACCACCACGAAAGCCCTAGCCCTTGACTGCGAAACCCTCAGACGTTTGGGAGCCGGGAGCAGGGTTTTGGGATCAGGATGAACCACAAGAAGGAAAGGACAAGAGGGCACAGGAAGAAACCAAAGTCGAGGCGACTAACACCCCCATGTCCGGGGTCCCTATAACCAAAGTATAGCAGCTGAGGGGCATCCGGAAAGGCAACCAACCTAGCACATTGCAGCAACCTACAGCGTGCATGCAACGCTGAAGCTGCCTGCACCCAAATACCATTATCAGTGGACTGGGTGAATTGAAGTACAAGCAAGGAACACCACTCACAGGACTCCAGATCAAAGGTGTCATTGATCCAACAGGCAGCATGGTGGAGGCAAAGACGGTAAGTGTCACCCTGAGATAAGTAGACAGAGCAACCTTCAAACTCACACAAAGTGATGCGAGGCTTGGAAGACGCAACCATTGGACCAATGAGCCCCAATGGGGATTTCCAGGGGCCCCTTAGGCTGACTGCTAAGGAAGGCCCAGGCAAGGTACTGCTAACTGGTTATTCCAAAACTACCAAACAAACAAAATGCTGAACCCCTGCGTACGTGTGCAATTACGAGGACCTAGCAGAGGGCCACCAAAATCATTCAAGTGGTCCTACAGCCAGACCAGGCAGACCCCTACCAGGCAAAACAAAATAAGAAAATAAATACCCCGCAAAAGCAGTGTCTCCAGGAGGAACAGAACCGGCCGCTATGCGTATTATAAGATAGCAGCACAGTACCTTGCTCCCCTGCTAGCGATGATGTTACCTCCTACCCAAGGCCAAACAGGGGGTAGGAAAAACCCCAGCTGACCCTGTGGGCACGTAATCACCAAGCAGCAA